AGCAGAAATGCCATCAACAACAGGTGCCCAAACCCCATATCCACCCCCTGATGGAGGATGGGGCTGGGTTGTGGTTGGAGCAGCTTTTATCTCCATTGGATTTTCATATGCATTCCCCAAAGCCATCACAGTATTCTTCAAAGAAATACAGCAAATATTCCACAGTACCTACAGTGAAATAGCATGGATATCATCCATTATGCTGGCTGTTATGTACGCAGGAGGTAAGCTTCTTGGAATAAATAGAATTCTGGACTAAGAAAACAATTCCTGCATCCCACAATGTTTTACATGCAGTGTCATGATACATTAAAGCCCTGTTTTTGTATTATAGTCACTTAAAACTAATCAAAAGTATAATGAGAACTGAATTTATAATGATTTTAAGGATTCAATATCTTAAACTATTCACTACATTTTGAGTCTTAATAAAGTATTTGAGGATTAATTTGCAAAAACCAAGATTTATTAAATTATGGAATTTCCAAGTGAGGCACATTTCCATTTATTTTGGAATAAAGTGTACACTATAATGTTAGTTTTATTTTCTACTATTGCTACAGCTGTTAGAAATGTTTTCTTCTGAATGAAAAAGAAAACTCAAGCTGCTGACAGTTTATATCCCAGAAAGCAAACACTTTAAGCTGTAAAAATTGATTGTTATCATGTATGTTCTGGACCCATTTAAGTTTGTGTGATTGAAATAATTCCTTATCTCTATAGGACTCACTAAGTATGACATCTTTTTATTCAAATGGTTAATTCCATTTCACTTATCTTGTTACATTCTGTGTTCACGTGAGGGTATGAATCATGAGGGATAATGAATAAATCAATGTATCCTCTCATTTCTGAATGTTAAAAATATTGGAATTATTAGTGCATTATTATGTAACCTATCTCTTTAAATCAATTTTAACAGCAGACCAGACTATCTTTTAGATTTTTTTAAAGTCATTACTTAAAATATATGAATTATAGAGTTTCATTTTTCAACTGGATATTTGATTTTAAGACTCAGAATATAAGAATTTGAAGAAATCATATAGATCATTTAGTGTAATTTTTTATCTTACAAATAAAGATAATAATGGCTGTTAGTGATGGAGATATAAAATTAGTAATAATATTCAATATTTCTTAGTATTTAATTTTAGGCAAGCCTTCTCTAAGAACTTGATATGACATAATCCTCTTAACAACCTGTGAAATAAGTATTATCTTCTCTATATTTTAAGGCTGAGGAAATAGAGAGATAAAGTAGTTTTCCCCAGTCAAATAGCTCATTAGTGGCAGATAGAAATTGAGACTCCAAACATTTAATCACTGTGTTCTCTGTCTTTCTCAAATCTTCCTCTTTACGTCTAGAAAATGACAGAGCCACATCTAGGTCAGGCCTTCTGCAAGTCTGATTCAGATTTATTTCCTACATGACTGCGACGTAATCACTTGTGTGCTACCCCCAACAAGGTCATTTGTTCGGTGACCTAATTATTAATTTTTAAGATATTGTCTCTTTGTTGTACTACCAAGGTAAAAATTTGATCCTGAAATAATCCTATGTGTGTGTGTATATTTGTGTGTGTCTGTGTGTTGGCATTGGTATGTGTTTTCCACTTTTTACATGTTTTTAAGATATTGTCTCTTTGTTGTACTACCAAGGTAAAAATTTGATCCTGAAATAATCCTGTGTGTGTGTTTATATTTGTGTGTGTCTGTGTGTTGGCATTGGTATGTGTTTTCCACTTTTTACATATCAGTGATTTTAGATTAATCCAGTATATGTCTCACTTATCCTTTAGGTTAAGTTAAAATGATGCATTTTTCTTCCACCATCAAAAGATATTCTTAAAATGCTATTTGGGCATGTCTACGGAAAATTCTGCTTCTAAAACACTTTCTGAGAATCTCCTTTAGACAGTTGCTTTAAGGATTCTAACAGTTTTATTTCTATGATTATAGAAACAGTTGATATTATGCAGTGGGTCTTGTTTCTCTATGCTGTGGGTCAGGTGTTCTTTAATAATCTTTGCTAGAGTAACATACAAAGTCATCTTGACCTGAGTAAGTGCTAAGTATGCCTCTTAAATATAGTTGAAACAGACTCTTCTAGTGAATTGATAGAGGTTCACTGAATTTGGACTTCAAGTCCTGTACATTCATAATTTTATCTCGAGCAGATAGTTGACTCATAAGTAAGACAACAATTTATATAGCTTTTTAGATAAGTCAGACAATTTACTTTCTCTGTTAGTTTTCAGCATACAACCTCAAAGTTTCAGTGGCTTAAGGCAATGCACATTTATTTCCTGCTCAGTGTTGCACCTGGTGGCTATGCCATAACCTAAGACTTTGTACCTCTTCCCTAAATCTCTCCATCCACTGAATAAAGAGTGAAGGCAGGCAGCAGGGAAGATCATATGGGATATTTTAGGGATGCTGGGAAATACTGGCTTCTTAGAGGAAGAAACAGAGCTGTAGAGCATTCAGCCATTCCTAGCGGAGCTTGTTATCTCAACAATCATTCCTCCTTCAACAACCACTTCCTGGCTGGAAGTAAGAGGAGCATTAAAATGAAAAATGACATAATTTTCTCAAGCCACTAAATCTCTGTATGAAATTATAATAAGTAAATACTTAAGCTATATTTAATCATAAATATTTTCATTTTATTCATACCCTTGTTTTCCTATTTTAATACATATGGCACAGATCTTAAAGAGCACAAAAGAGAACTCTTTTGAAATTCACTAAGAAAGTGGTAGTTTGGTAAAATAGCTATAAATTTGGAAAAAAAATGCCTTAAAATTTTTAGGGTAATAGATGAATAAAATATGTCTAAATTAAAAATTAACAGGGATTTTGTATCTGCTTGTTTCAAGAAAACAATGCTAAACACATGAAAATACTTTGTATGCAGTAGTTGATGATGGTAATATCTACATGATATCCAAGTAAGTACTTGGAATGTTGCCTGAAATCCTCAGTTATCAGGACTGAAACATTTTTCATGTCATGTCTGGCCATGGAGAAACATCAGGAATTTCAGAAATTCTGCTACCCATTGGTCTTTCACTTAAAATAGGAAACACAATTCTAGGCCCATTCCCCATCAGATAGAAATGTTACTACCTGCAATATTCACTGTTGAATGTAGATCTCATATATTTACATGGTTTGTTGGAAATAATATCCATGTCTTACCCTGATAGTTTTTAATCTTTTAACAAAAAATAATTGGCCCATAAACTATAATCTCAATGTAAAAACAATTTTCCTTCTGTGGATGCAGATAATTTTTTAAGAAACATAACTATTTAGAACAAAAAGTCTGCTGGATTCAATTAATCTAAGACACAGGTATTAGTCCTGCTTTTGTGCAGTGTTTTTCTCAAGTCTGGTCCACAGATTTTCTGCTTCTGAACCATGGGTCTCTTGCTAAAAACACATAATGTTAGGCTGTATCCTAAACCCCCTTTTATCAAAATTTTTATTGGTAAATTCTAGAAACTTGCATTTCAACAAACGTCTCTGAAAACCATCTCACTTTATATATAACATAGGGATTCATTGTTGTAGAAGAAAATCAATATTTGATTTAAAATATTTAAATTTTCCTCTAGTATTTGAAAGATCTGTATGTATAGAGGCCTTTTAGGTTGATGATTATAAAATAAATTCAAAAACTATGAGATGAAAAGGCATATAGTTTTCTATAAACTATAATTTCTCTCTCTACCAAGTAACAAATATTTGGTTCAATCTAATGCTAATTTCATTAGCCTGGAGAACATCTAAGATCTGACACACTCATTAGGTCTTAGCACTCAACCTATTAATCACTACAGTGGGGTCACTGAGTAAGAT